ATGAGCGGCATCGCTAATTCCGATTGCAAACCAGAATCCGTGGAAGCAACCCCCACCGACTCGCAACAAACTGGCAAGGAGGAGGCGATCATTATCGTGGATGATGTGCGACGAGATCCACACATTGAGTACCATTTCACTGGGGCCGAGATTGTTCGGGTGGGGGTGTATCCTTTTTCTTTGAGTGATCGTATACATTGACTGGCACACACGCGCTGGGTTTCCCTTTTTGTTACAAGGATATTGTCGTGGGGCTGAGTGACGGGCTCACTGTGCCATTTGCTCTCACGGCTGGTCTCGCTTCGCTCGGAAACTCGAGGTTTGTAGTTCTCGCAGGCATGGCCGAAGTTGTGGCCGGATCTATTGCGATGGGTCTCGGCGGATACCTGGCTGGACGATCCGAGCTTGAGCATTATGAGAGCGAATACGAGCGTGAGAAGAAGGAGGTTCAAGATGTCCCAGATCGGGAGGAGGATGAGATTTGCGAGTTATTTGAGGTGACAGGGGAGCAGTTGTTGGCTTGGCATTGTTGCTGACAAGAAATTTGTTCCAGCCATACGGATTGGATCGACAGAGCCTGGAACCCCTTCTGGACAGACTGAAGGCAAATCCGGTGAAATGGGTTGAATTCATGATGAAATACGAGCTGAATCTGGAGAGACCGGACGCCAGCCGGACTTGGATCTCAGCACTCACAATTGGAGGCAGCTACTTTGTGAGATCATTGCTACCATCTCTTCAATGCCTCCTTCAATGTAATTTAGGATATTTAAATTCCTTTTAGTTGGGAGGACTCGTGCCGCTGGTTCCGTACATGGTCGTTGCCAACAGCTACACGGCGCTGTACATTTCATGCGCAAGCACTCTCTTTGTCCTACTTGTGTTCGGGTATGTGAAAGGGAGGGTGATGGGGGTCAAGTCGCCGTTGAGGAGCGCGGTTGAAATGACGCTCGTGGGCGGCATTGCGAGTGCAGTCGCGTTTGGAATCGCCACGGCCATGCCTCACCCGTGATCTTTTGTGTTTCTTACTTCAGAATGTCTTATTGCTGTCTTTCCGTCTTCTGTATCTTTTGGTAAATAAAACTCGCAGATTATTTTATCTTTTACTTTCCGTCTTTATTTTCTTTTTCTGAAAGAATACAGAAAACATCATGTCAACCCGCTCAAGCAAACGCAAACGGAAAGCAGAGCAGCCAGAAACCGAACCAGCCGCCGAAGCAGCAGCGGCACCCATGGACATCGATTCTCGCTTAACTCCAAACTCGCATGCAACTGCGAATGGAACTGCTCAGGGCGGATGGCTGCAAACAATCGAAAACGCCGTCAAATCCATCGTATCCATTCGATTCTCGCAGGTTTTTAGTCGCTGAAAGATACTGGGGCATCTTATGCATTATGTCCTGACCGTTTGGCGCTCCTCCTTTTTCTTGCTCCTCAAGGTTTCCTCATTCGACACTGAACACGCTGAAACTAGCGAAGCTTCTGGTTTTGTCGTCGATGCAACCCAAGGAATTATTCTTACAAATCGGCATGTTGCTTGTGCTGGGCCGTTTGTGGGCGAAGCAGTTTTCCACGACCATGAGGTTTTTTTTTCTTTCCCCGAGTGGAATTGTATCTTGTTCACGCATACCTGACGCTCTCAATTTGCTGTTGTCCTGTCTATTAGGAAGTTCCAGTCTTTCCCATATACAGGGATCCCATCCATGACTTTGGCTTCCTCAAATTTGACCCGAAAAAAGTGAAATACATGCGTGTTCAACAAATCGAACTTGCACCGCAATTGGCGAAAATTGGACTGGATATCAAAGTCGTTGGGTAAAATCGGAATTTTTTGCGAAGCGCACTCTCGATGCTGATTGCTTGACAGAAATGACGCTGGAGAAAAGCTATCGATCTTGTCTGGTCAAATTTCCCGTCTCGATCGAAATGCACCAGATTATGGGGAGCTCAGCTACAACGATTTCAATACCTTTTACCTGCAAGCTGCTTCTTCTACCTCGGGTGGGTCGTCTGGATCTCCTGTTCTCGAGATTGGAGGCCGTGCCGTTGCATTGCAAGCGGGTGGACGAACTCAGGCTGCCACCGATTTTTTCTTCCCTCTGGATCGTGTGAAACGGTGTTTGGAGATGCTTCAAGCAGATGAGCATGTGTCGAGAGGAACAATTACTACGCAATTTCTGTACGTCTTACACCCCGTACTTTTCTCGACTTCTCCATTTGATCATTACTGTTCTTGCTCTCGACCATTGCTGTGGTGGACTAACCTTTTAAACAAAAACCTTGAACTCAGATTCCGCCCATTCGATGAATGTCGCCGCCTTGGTCTTCAGGATACAACGGAAGCCATGGTCCGCTCAGCAGACTCGACAGAGATTGGAATGTTGGTCTGTGAAACTGTTGTGCCAAAAGGCCCTGCGTGGGAATTGCTGGAGGAAGGAGATGTATTGATCAGTGTGGACAACGTGATTGTGACAAAGTTTGTTCCGTTAGAGGCAAAACTGGACAATAGGTTAGTGATTCTTTTTGTTCAATATTATGTCTGGTGTTTTTGATGAGAATTTTATTTGCTTGTCAGTGTTGGCAGGAAAGTGTCAATCAAAATCGAGAGGGGCGGCGAACCCATGGAATTCGATATCACGGTGAAAGATCTGCACTCGATGTAAGCAAAAAACGAATCAATCTGTGCAGTGTTGGCTCCATCTGACACATAACCCCTTGTACAGAACTCCTGATCGATATGTTGAAGTGGGCGGCGCAAAAGTGAACAATCTCTCGTACCAACTCGCACGTCAGTTCTGTGTCCCTGTGGAAGGCGTGCATGTCTGTGCTGCGTCTGGAATGCTCAAATTCGACAATTCGTCATCGGAGCATGGCTGGATCGTGAGTTCTGTGGATGCAAAACCGACACCGAATTTGGACGCGTTTATCGACGCGATTCGAAGCGTGCCCGATCGGTCCCGAGTTCCTGTCACGTATTACAGCATTGCCGATGTGCATACTGTGAATCTTACGATTGTGAGCATGGAGCGGCATTGGGCTGGGTTTCGGATGGCGGTCAGGAATGGTGCGCTGTTTTGAGGTGAAGGTGGATAAGGAAGTCACTGACCAGATGTTTTTATTTGTACACAGACAAAACTGGGCTTTGGGATTACACAGATTTGGGGGAACCCATTCCGCCGAAAACCATCGAACCGTCTACAGCTACATTTGCGGAGTTGGACGAGAGCTTAGGAGACGCGCGAAACTTGTTCAAATGCATGGTTAAAGTAAGCTTCTACATGCCAATGCGCTTGGACGGCTATCCCAGATCTCGCGTGAGTAAAAAACTTTTTGTCCCAAGAGAGCAGTCCTTATTAAAGCTTGGTTCTTCATCCCTTCAGAAACAAGGCGCCGGAGTCATTGTAGACGCGAAACTCGGAATCATCGTCGTTGGCCGAAATATCGTACCCTTCAGCCGCGGAGATATCAGCATAACATTTGCTGACTCTTTGATTATTCCTGGAAAAGTCGTATTCCTGCACCCAACACACAACATTACGTTTATCTCATATGATCCTGCACTGATTGCTGAGACACCTGTGGTTTCGGCGGTTGCGAGTGATGCGGAGCTCGTGCAGGGACACAAGGTTTCGTTTGTTGCGTTGAATCACAATTACCGGCCAGTGTGCGTGGAAACGACAGTTACGGACATTACCTCGGTCATGATTCCTCAAAATTCAACGCCCAGATTTCGGGCAATCAACTTTGGTAAGTAGCCTACCATCCCACGAAAAAGAATTTATAAGAGCTAAATCGTCAAAAACAGACGCCATCACTCTCGACACTCCACTTGCTCAACAATGCTCGTCTGGAATCCTTGCAGACGGGCAAGGTCGCATTCAGGGTCTTTGGCTGTCTTTCTTGGGCGAACGCAACACAAACAATGCCGACATGGAGTATCACATGGGTGCGAAATTCCGGATCGTGACGCCGATTCTTGCCAAACTTCAAGAACGCGCGGCGCAAATGAATAGGAATTCTCCTTCAGTTGACATTCCTCCGATCGTGATTCGCGGTCTCACTGTCGAGTTTACGCCGATTCAAATGGCGCAAGCACGGCACATGGGCGTGTCGGATGACTGGATGAGGAAGGTTGAATCTGCAAACCCGCACAGGCGGCAGCTGTTTATGGTGCGGCGCGTGGAGGCTGGAGGCGAGACGAGTAAATTCTTGAAAGAGCTTGATCTGGTCCTGTCTGTCGACGGCAAGTGCGTGACTCGTATTGAAGAGGTGGACGTGGGCAAGGAGTGGCGAGACGAGGTTGAAATTGTGCTGCTAAGGGATAAAGAGGAAATGACTGTGCGCGTGCCGACAGAGGTTCTTGACGGAGAAGGAACAACCCGGGCTGTTGTTTGGGCTGGCGCCATGTTTCAGGTTTTGTTTTTTGTTTTTTGTCGATCTTGTTGCGTGCGTGCACGGGCTCAATATTTATTTTTATACCAGGAACCGCATCGTGCCGTACTACATCAATCAAAGTCACTCCCATCTCGAGTTTACGTCTCAAATCGCAGCAAAGGCAGCCCAGCATACATGTACGGACTCGGCTCAACCCAATGGATCACCCACGTGAACGGCCACCCAACCCCAGATCTCGACGCGTTTATAAAAGCAGTCAGCACCCTCCCTGCTGACAATGAATATGTCCGTGTCAAGACGGTCACATTTGACAATGTTCCGCTGGTATTGAGCATCAAAAATAACGTGCATTACTTTCCAACTGTGGAGGTTGTTAGAGATAAAAGTGCTGGGCTTTGCGGATGGACCCAGAAAGTGATTGGATGAATGGATGATGACTCGTTTTTCTCGAGGATGTGTGTTTTTTTTTTGAGCAAGAAAATATGATGAAAAACACATCTGGTCCTTTCTTTTTTTCCAACATGTGCATGATCATACAAAAATATATCGTGATGGGGATGCGTCTGATGTCAGTGAATGCATGGGCCATTGAGCAAAATTACATACACCCGAGGTCGGGGTTGAACCGACGGCCTTCTCCTTAGGAGGGAGACGCGCTGCCACTGCGCTACACGGGCGATGTTCAGTCTAGAAATTGACCTGCATACTAAACATGCGCACCAGTTGTTTCGGGCCACTCCGGTATTTGAAATGCGAGTCAAAGTGCAAGTGAGATCTTCAACCCAAAAAGATGGCAAGCTTCACAAAGCAAATCGGATCACTGCGACTACACGCCTTTGTATGCGGCGACATCTTTTCAACACCACCACCACCACCGCAGTTGCAGCCATACAATGCATTCATCGTGCCTGCAAACCAATTCCTCGTTGGATGCCGACTTCCATATATTACCCGAGGCATGCACATCCCGTACACTGCAGCAGCCACAGAGACCAAAACCAGCATGTCATCAAACTGGGGCGGACACGAGATTGACCGGCGATATCAATTGTATCCGATCGAATGCGTTGACGGGCTTGTTCATCGATACGCGGGTGCGGAGTTGACGCAGTGGTTGGAACGACTGAAGCCGGTGGTGAAGGAGGAGGAAGGGAATCGGTTTGTAAAGTGTTTGCATGGAGATGCAGTTGTTTCGCCTGGGTTTGGGTTGGAGGATCGGTTTGGGCTTCTTGTGCATACAGCAGTGCCGTTTAATGAAGGGGGTGATGCAGGATTGTTGTTGAGTCGGTGTTATGAATCGAGTATCTTGGCCGTTGCAAAACGGGATGGGAGTATCAAGGGGACAACAGGCTTGTCACACCAACCCAGCAAAACAATAAGGATGCTGACTGTGCTGCTTGGTTCAGGAAGTCGCGGTTTTGAAGCAAATGAATGCTGCGAGGCTGCGTTCAAGGGGATATCTCAAGCCAGTTTGGAAATGGAGGACAGTGGGGTTCAAGTGGATTTAGATTTGGCAGTTCGTCATTTTGACATTCTTGGCATGCTCGGGTCGCGTTTTTCATGATTGCTGGCATGAGTGGAAGGAGATTGTGATGGGAAAGAGTGGGGCCCTTGTCAGCAGCAAAGCAAAGGTTCCTTCGTTGGATGGAATTGAAACGCGTGGGAAAAGAGCGACAAAAGAACAGCAAAGCAACCGTGTTTCTCTCGTGCTTGTTCAGCCAAAAAGACCTCGTTCAGGATGCTTAAAAACAAGGGTTTCTTAAATCAACAATTTTATCAACTTAGCAAAAACCGCTCACTTTTTCCGACCCTCAAAAAAAGAAACCCAGAAATAACCGCACACCGCAAACAACAATGCACCTCACCTCTTTCTTTGCACTGAGTGTGCTCTCCGGGCTGGCTCTTTCCCACGGCAACGTTACAATCATACCCCGCACGATCCAAGGCCTTGCCATGACGTTTGTCGGACACCTGGACGTCCCTTACGGCTGCAGTGTCAACTCAGACGATATGCCTCCCGAGTCTCCCTCACAGAACTTGGCTGCACTGTGGCTACGGGCTGCGTTTCATGACGTTGGAAAGTTTGATGCTGAGAAGCCGGATCAAGTTGTGAGTGGCCTGTTGCCCAATTATTTGAACGAGACGGAAAACGCAGGTGTGTTGTGTACTTTGTGTATATAGTTTTGTACATGGTTTTTGTTGAAGGAGTTTTTTTTTGTCATTGACTGAGTTTTTGCTTTGTTCCAGGAATCGGAATTTCTGTTGCAACCAGCTTTGCATCGTACGTCAAGTTTAATTACAGCCGCGCAGATTTTATCGCTTTGGCCGGACAGGTTCAAGTGTTTTATTATTGCTGAATGAAGCCTCAAAACTCATCCCCTTTCTTTCCCAAACCAAAAAAAAAAAAGGCCGTTGTAATCCACTGCGGTGGACCCAACTTCAACTTTTCATATGGCCGCCAAGACGGCATCCGCACCACCCCTTTTACATCACTCGCACAATCCCTCCCAGACGACGCCATACACACCTACGACATGATGAAAACAAAACTACGCCGCCTAAATTTCACCAACGCCGACATTGTCGCTCTAGTCACTGGAAGTCATTCCCTCGGTGGTGCACACAAGGCAATTTCGCCACACTTGACGGACCAAAAATTCCAACCGTTCGACAGCACGCCTGGAATCTTTGATAACGTCGTGTTTCAGGATGCGTTGAAGGGAAAATGCGTGACACGCGTGGATTGCGGGATCATCAAGGATCCAGAGATGAAGCCGCTGATTGAATTGTATGCGAGCAACCAAGACGCGTTTTTTAAACAGTATGTGGAATCGTTTGAGAAGATGGTGAATTTGGGGCAAAAGACAAGTGAGTTGTCGAGTGTTGCTTTGGACATTGAGGTTCATGAGAAGCTTGCGGAGGAAGGGGGTGCTCAGGCTGTGCTTGCGGCTGCTGATGCGGCAGCGGGTGGCTCCAAGCCAGTGGCAACCGCTGTGGCTTCGAGCAAGTCTGGGGCAAGCGGCAAAGTGGTGTGCTGGTTGGTGCTTCTGGTTTCGTTTCTCTTGCTGTAAAAATAAAAGATATGAGATGGAGTTTCCAACCCATGAATTCGAAATGGTATGATAAGTAGAGGAGAGCAGTAAAACTCTGATGATGGCGTTTTATTCTTGGAATCCCACCCACTTAAAGTAACATGGCAACAAGCACGGCCAACCCAGCCTTCACAACAGACACAGGAGAGGCATCCGACGTCTTGGCCACTGTCGTCGCGGCAGCAGCAGCCCCCGTACTCATGGCCATTGGCTTTGAAGCACCCGCACTAGCAGACACTGTAGAGTTTGACTTTGAAGGAACAACCGCCTTCGTGTTTGCTTCAAGCGTCACATCTGCACACTGATAAATGTCAAACTTGGGCTGATGGCACACAACCTGGATCGTTGCTTCACCGCCAGAAGTAAGCAACTCAGCAGGCACGGATGTAAGATCCAACGGCACCGTGTACGTCTCGCCCATTTTGGCATTTGGCAACGCGCCAATCTTGTACGGGAACGTGGTTGGGTTGGACCCAAAGCCGAGGAAAATATCGTTACTACCGTCCCAGTAGAAGGCCAGAACAATGTTGTTTTGCAGGGTGGAGAAGGGGACTCGGTTGGCTGGGGTTGGAGCGTTTGCGCAAGGGCCGATTTGTTGGTCTGGCATGGTTCCAACGTTGCGTGGGAGAGGAGTGAGCATTTCCAGGTGTGCTGAGACGCTGGAGACGGCGGCAATGAGCGTGAGGGTGATGGTTGCGAGCATACTGGTTGCTGTTGTAGTTGTTGGTGGTGTAGGTTTTTTGTTTGGGCTGCGATTTGCAGAGGCGTCTATTTATAGACCCCTCAAAAAGAAAAATTCATTCGGCTTGATTGGGATGCGTCATTTTCGCCTCGCTTTCTGAGAAACCCTCGTTTTTTCGACGAGAGGCACCCCAGCAACGCACACTGCTTCCCGCATTTGTCACACGTCGCTGCGCTCGAATGGCGGATGCAAACAAGCTGGCTGTCGGGTTCTTGCAGTCGTACCCAAGCTGATCTTGTGTGCAAACAGTCAGGATCCTATTTTCAAGATGGACCACCGTTGCTTTAGGCACTGCTCAAACCATTCTCATTCCCAATTCCCAAACATGGAAGTCAACATTCGAATATAGCGCGTCTTCATCGAGTAGTGTCGTTTATTTTTATTTTAGAGTCACACGCCGACAGCAAAGCAGCAATTAAAAGGTATCAGTCAAGGATTGTTGCTTTTAGAAAAGAGCCAAAACGCCAGCAGCAGCGGCAGCGACAAGGGCGTCGGTAGCGGCAGCGGTCGCGTCATTTCCGTAAATCTTTTGCGTCTCCGTGGCTTTGGGAACTGAGACGGAAGCAGAGACGGGGACAGAGTTGGAAGCAGACTTGGAAGTTGTGCTTGCAGGGACAACAGATGTGGTGCTCGCAGGAACAACGCCTGCAGAACTCGAGGAAGGAGCAACATCAGGCGAGGTAGTAGAAACCGCGTCCAAAGTGGAGGACGGCGAGGCAGGAACAGCGGACGGTGCAATCGTCACGTCACCACACTGGTACAAGTTCACTTCCTTGGGCTGGTGGCAAACAACTTGAATGGTGGCAGGTCCGCCCTTTGCCAGAACATCCTTGGGCACACTCGAAAAGTCCAGCGGCACTTTGTACGTCTCACCGCCAACAGACTTGATTCCGCCCACCTTGTATGGAAACTCGGTTGGGTTCTCACCGAATCCGATGTAGACGTCATTGTCGCCATCCCAGTAGAAGACGAGGCCGATGGAGTTGTCGAGGGTTGCAAAGTCTGTGCGGACAGTGCTTGGGGTGTTGGCGGTGCCGCATGGGCCGACCTTCTGGGTCATCATGGAACCAATGAGACGGGAGGGAGGGGCAACAAGCTCAAAGTGAGCTGTGACAGTGGAGACAGCAGCGAGGGCAGCGATGAAGAGAGTCGTGGCGTGCATGGAGAGATTTCGCGGATCTTTTTTCTTTTGGGTTCCAATGAAGCTGCTGCTTTTGGGGGAAAGGGCGGCGTGATAATTCTCAGCCTCCGGCAAAAGTCCCGCATTGGAAAACGAGGGTTTCGAAGAAATTTGAAAAATTAAAAAAATTGCTCGCAAAATCCTCTCACTCCCCGACTCCCAATTCCCGATGCTTCTTCTTCCAGTCCTCGTTCTGGCAGCACATGTCCTCGCTAAACGTGAACGGCCCGTGAACGCAAGCTTTGGCGGCTTCACTTTCCCAGCTGGAACCATCGAACAACTCGCAACAGAGTTCACGGGCCACTTGAACATCCCCAATGGCTGCTTGATCAACCCGGAGGACTTGCCCGACGGCTCTCCCTCGCAAAACTTGGCCGCATTGTGGCTGCGGGCAGCGTTTCATGATGTCGGGAAATATGACCCCAAGAATCCAGCGCAGCGAGTGAGCGGCTTGTTGCCAAACTACTTGGACCAGGTGGAAAATGCGGGTGAGTTCGTCTTTTTGACATGATGGCCCCTTCTTGAAGCTGGTACTTATGCTCTTGGCTGCGTGTGTTCTAGGAATCGCCCAATCGATTGCGACAAGGTTCGCTCCCGTTGTAAAGTTCAACTTTAGCAGAGCAGATTACATTGCGCTTGGTGCCCAAGTTGGTGACAAAAACT